AACATATTAAGTAGAAGCCATTAAGGGTGCTTCAGAATCAATGACCTGTAAATGGCTCTGTTTACTTGCAAACCTTCCTGGGTACGTGCGGGCCAGCCCTGGAAGAATGGAGGCTGGGGTTTCACAGGACATGTGAAAATGTTACCTGATACTGGAATCCTTAAACCTGGTGCTTTTCCATTTAGAAGGAGGGGTGGTAACCCAGAGAGACAAAAGATTCCAACCTTGTGCCAAAGGTATAAAAGGGGGTGGAACAGAACGAAGGAGGCTAGCAGTCATGAGAACACCCCTGCTTTCCACCTAAGATGTCTGCTGGAACGAACAAGGGCTGAAAGGATTAGGCCCAGACTAGGAAGGAGTCTAGTCTGTGAAAGAAGCTTATTGGAACATCTCTGAGGGTGAGATATTACCTGTAATCAGTTTCTTAATGTATTAAACTTAGGCTTGCGCGTTTTTGCTTTATTTTGCTTGGTGACTTACTTTGTTCTGTCTGTTATTACTTGAAACCACTTAAATCCTACTTTTTATACTTAATAAAATCACTTTTGTTTATTAATGAACTCAGTAAGTGATTAATACCTGGGGGAGCAAACAGCTGTGCATCTCTCTCTATCAATGTTATAGAGGGCAGACAATTTATGAGTTTTCCCTGTATAAGCTTTATACAGAGTAAAACAGATTTGTATGGGGTTTGGATCTCTTTGGGAACTGGGTGTTTGGGTGCTGGAGATAGGTGTCCTGCTGAGCAGTTTTTGGTTCAAGTCTGCAGCTTTGGAGACGTGGACCAGACCTGGGTCTGTGTTGCAGCACCCTAGCGTGTCTGTCTCAACAAGGCAGGGTTCTGGAGTCCCAAGCTGGCAGGGAAAACAGGCTCAGAGGTAATTTCAGCACAGCAGGTGACAGTCCCAAGGGGGTCCCTGTGACCAAATCTGTCACAAGGTTTTTTTTGTAGTTAACTGCAAGAGTTGAATGCTTTGTAAGAGCTCTTTAACTCCTCTGTCTCGTTCTTTGTTTTACATCCACAGGGCTTAATATTCAAAGAGAAGGTTCTCCAAAAGAAGTCAAGGCACAAGGAATGAAAAGCAGCTTTTAGAATCATCTATATTTATATGGATCCTGTTGCAGAGTATGATGATGCTGCAATGCTTGAAACTGTGTATGAAATTAACTGAAAAAACTACTCCCTACTTTGAGGCAAAAATAAAGATACCCTACTTTTAAGACACCCAAACCAGCTGGTCATTGTCAAATTGAAGCATCCTGTCCCCTGTAGCCCACAGAGATAGCTTTAGCATTGATTTTAGTGAGCAGTAACACAAGGAACCCACCCGCCCATATCCTGTAAGACATTGGCTTCAGCAGTTAGCATAAAGGCTTGAGACCTATAGCTTGGCCCAAAAATGGCCTAACAGTCACCCCTAAGTTTTGGGGAATTGGGACTAGAGCGTTTAAGGGAGAAGTTTGTCCATAACAACACCCGCCAAGCCCAGGAACTTGAGCTAACACCAGCTTTTGGATATTTTAAGATAGAACATCTGCAGATGTTTGACCACAAGAGTGCCATGACAACAAACTGATGTATATGATAATAAATTGAGATTATTCCTATACTAACCTATAGGAGAAGGGCACCCCAGCATTAGTAGGGGGAGGAAATACAAATAAGGAAGAGGGAGAAACCCTTACTGAATGTGGCATCAGCCTAACATATTAGAAAAGTTGTATCCCAGCCTGAGTGTGGGAGGAGAGAGAGAGGTAGTCCCTGGGAAGTGCCAGGATGATGGCCACTGGTGATGAGGAAGACAATGGCTAACATTTCAGGTTGTTCTGCAAGGGATGGTGTGTGTATATGGATGTTCAGAGGTATATTCTGTATTCTCTCTATCTACCTTGCTGGATTAGTGTGTTTGTGACTGTGCTGAATATATAAATAAACTATTGTAAATACAGAAGGGTTCCTAAAGTGTGAGTATTGCAACTGAACAGTAATTTCAGTAATATTGGGCCTGATCGTGGGACAAGAACCTGTCACCCCTCAGAGTGATAACTGGGAATTCTTAAGTAATCCAATATAATTAATACACAATCCATAGATTGGGATACATCCCCTAGCATTTTTCAAGGCTTTGTGAAATAAGCATTTTATAAACTTAAAGACTATGGCCAGCAACTGATCTGCCTGTGTACATTCTCGATAAGCTGGACAAAAGAAAGGATTGTTGACACAGCTTTCTCAGAGGTTTTGCTTCGACTGGTTTCAGGTATTCCTGGTTGAGATTTTAGAGCCAGGAAAGCTTGAAGGCAAATAGTTAGACTTCTAGACCAGCAGCTGGGCAATAGGTCTCATGGTAATTTTAGCAATATGATCAGTATTGAAAATTTCAAAATAAGTGTGAAAATGCACACTCTGGCAATGATTGCAGATGGGTACACCCAAGTCTCTAGATTGATCTATGACAGTGGGACACTTACTGTAAGGGTCACAAAAGTAAGAGCTCAAAAAGAGAGTGTGAACATAATACCAACAGCCTACTACTGCATCAGTGAGAAACATCAGAGCCCTCATCCCAGTTACCTAATGCTGAACTTACTGACATTGCAGGACGTTCCTGTTCATTAGTATTCTCCCTCTCAGGAGTAAGGGATATTAAAGAGGCTTTCTGTTAAAAGTTGAAGGGCTGTTGTATTTTTAATGTGCCTAGAGTTCAGACAACTGGGGAAAAAAAACAACACCAGCATAATAGCATGAAGCAGACCAAATTTCTTGTAGAAATAGTGATGTATGCAGGATAAGATACAGCTCTCATAAGCAATGGATTTTAAAAAGCAGAGGTGGCAAAAGAAGTTAGAGCTGCAACCATGGGACACACTAATTAATGATCTGGAGGATGGCGTGGACTGCACTCTCAGCAAGTTTGCAGATGACACTAAACTGGGAGGAGGGGTAGATACGCTGGAGGGTAGGGACAGGATACAGAGGGACCTAGACAAATTAGAGGATTGGGCCAAAAGAAACCTGATGAGGTTCAACAAGGACAAGTGCAGAATCCTGCACTTAGGACGGAAGAATCCCATTCACTGTTACAGACTAGGGACCGAATGGCTAGGAAGCAGTTCTGCAGAAAAGGACCTAGGGGTTACAGTGGACGAGAAGCTGGATATGAGTAAACAGTGTGCCCTTGTTGCCAAGAAGGCTAACAGCATTTTGGGCTGTATAAGTAGGAGCATTGCCAGCAGATCGAGGGACATGATCATTCCCCTCTATTCAACATTGGTGAGGCCTCACCTGGAGTACTGTGTCCAGTTTTGGGCCCCACACTACAAGAAGGATGTGGAAAAATTGGAAAGAGTCCAGCGGAGGGCAACAAAAATGATTAGGGGGCTGGAGCACATGAGTTATGAGGAGAGGCTAAGTGAACTGGGATTGTTTATTCTGCAGAAGAGAAGAATGAGGGGGGATTTGATAAGCTGCTTTCAACTACCTGAAAGGGGGTTCCAAAGAGGATGGATCTAGACTGTTCTCAGTGGTACCAGATGACAGAACAAGGTGTAATGGTCTCAAGTTGCAATGGGGGAGGTTTAGGTTAGATATTAGGAAAAACTTTTTCACTAGGAGGGTGGTGAAGCACTGGAATAGGTTACCTAGGCAGGTGGTGGAATCTCCTTCCTTAGAGGTTTTTAAGGTCAGGCTTGACAAAGCCCTGGCTGGGATGATTTACTTGGGATTAAGTCCTGCTTTGAGCAGGGGGCTGGACTAGATGACCTCCTGAGGTCCCTTCCAACCCTGATATTCTATGATTCTAAAGACAATGTAGATAAAGCCTCTGTTTTCTGCAGTTCCTGTTCCATGCTATGACACTAACTCTTCTTTCTTTTCTCTCTTCCTTTGCTATGTATCTCTGTGGTAATATCACTTAACTAAGCAGAGCATTCTGTTTTTGGACGGTTCGTATGAAATACGTTATAACTTGCCAATTCATTTGACTATGAGTAAAGCAATTCAAATGGTGGAGTTCAATGAGGGTGACAATCCGTTCTTAGCTTTCCCTTTCAAAACAATATATGCACTTAAAAAAACAAAAAAACAGAAAACAAAAAAAGAAAACGTTTTCAGTCTGCAGCATGGCAGCATCTATAAGTTGCTGAGAAATAGAGGGCTGTTTATCACAACAAATGCACTGAATGGAAAGAGGACAATGAAAGCAAAACAAATCAAACAGTAAATTCTCTAAGGGAAAATAATATACATTTGATAAATATCTTTCCCTTGGCAAGACAATGCAATAATCTTTGCATTTGATAAATACCTTTCCCTTGGCAAGACAATGCAATAATCTTTGCCTTTCATTGGGCTTGTTTTACGCTAACTTGGCTTGTGCATTGCGTATTAGCTAGTTTTTTGGGCTTGTTAGGGTTTTTAAAGTAGCTTGTAGTTCTTTTTTTTTTTTAAATTTGGCTCCTGGGCCCAGCCAATCAGAAAGCTCCAATGGTGGTGATTGGCATTTGGGTCCTCCAGCTGCTGCCCTTGCCTGCAACGCCCTCTCTGCACACCCCCTTCCCACTCCTACAACCAGACTTAGCACTGTCACCAGCAATATCTTAGTTTTTTGGAACTGGACAGAAAGACTTGTCAGGATAAAGACTGCAATTTTTGTTATCTTACCAGAACACAAATCTATAAAATTATATTTGCTTCCCACGTTGGAGAAAAAAGGTAGGGGACACTAATACAGATTCCACAAGTGAACTACTTCACAGATCCCTGTTCCCACTATTTTCTAATGATTTCCAAAAGCATGTCTTATCCATGTAACAACACAGCTGACACTGACACATCATGCGAGTGCTTCAGAGATTCATAAACTTTATGTGCAGGCTGGGACTCTTTTTAAAGCTCCTTATAGAAAAGGATAAGAATATTTTAAAATGAGTGAATTAAAAAAAAAAAGTAAGGGAGTGGTCAATCTCTGCACCAAAAAATATGATTAAATACAGTTAGATCCAGATCAATGTTTTATTAGAAAATACGTTCTTGTTCTCTTCATCTAATGCCAGGAGGCAGCTAAAGTTACCCAAATTCCTAGACTTATAGGCAATTCTTTGGCATAGCAGTTCATCAGAAGTAAGTAGTGGGTTCTCATAAGGAGTCTTAAATTGTGCATCTACTTGCTTTTGGGAAAATAAACTCATTAAATGTTTGTGGACTGTCATTTGCCAGAGATGAAGATTAATTCCTGTTTCCTGGATTGGGCAGATTCTATAATGAAAGAAGTACTGTATCTCTCTTACTTCAGTATTTCTTCCAGCATTAGGTAATAATTGACATCTCTTCCCTGTCTCTGCTCTCATTTAGCATGTTGATAATGCTTTTGAAGTATTTCACAAATTCCATGCGGACATCCTCAGGATCTTCTTCCAGGCTGGAATGTATTAGTTTCAGTTTGTTCAGTGGTGAAGCTTTGAAGTTAGACACAAAAAATTAAAAATAAAGGTTACTATATTCATTTTAATACAAATACATTTACAGTTTTCTTGAGTTTACAGGACTGTTTATACTACATAAAGCATTTGGAAATCCAGATGCATTAAGATATTGCTGTCCAGCATAACATGTAACCTTTAAAAAGTGATGCATCATCATCATCAGTAATACAATGAACTAAGTTCATCGATGGATAAATCCTTTGGAAAACTGAAAGGATATATTTTGCAATCACATATTTAGACACAAAGTGAAATCCAGCCAATATGTAGGAACTGTAATCAATTCATTTAAGATATTATTTAATCACTCTGAAATTTAAATGTAAAAATACTTTATAATCTTAAAAATGTTTGGGACAAGTAGATCTACCCATTGTGATTCAACTATTCAAATTAGAAATTGCTTATGCACTATCAAATTCAGAAAAATCTTAGCTAAGCAGCAATGAGGGGAAAGTAAACACAAAGTGTATAGTACAGGTTAATGGAGGTTTAATCTGCTGTAATGTGGGAATAGTTCTTGAAGCTTTAGCTTTCCAGTCTGATTATTCTATATGTTTTTTATTATGGACACACACAACACTTTCCAGAATTGCTTTTTAGTTTTTATTGTGCAGTACACACTTACAGCCTCTCCTTACAAGTTCTGATACTGTACAGTTCTATTATCTTTTATTTAGATGTCATATTCTGAAATATGTTTTCCTCCATATTTCTTCATGTTAACCATTTCTAGATGGCTTCTTTGAAACTTCTGTTGAAAAGCCAAATTAAAACAGGACCTTTTGATAGAATATCTGTCTCACGGATGCAGTCAGCTTCTTCCATCAAAAGATCTGGGGACTGAGTTTCTTCTTACTTACACTGGTGTACGTCACAGCACTACCACTGAAGTCAATTATACTGGTGTAATGCAATATAACTGAAAAGAGCATGAGGTCCCTAACTTTTCAAATCCATCTTTGTTTCCATCTTCACTAGTGACATATCAGTTTACTCTCGTTTGGACTAGATGGCTTCAATTTAGATGCATGTAATATTGAGTTTTTAGACACCTTTGTACAAGGAAGATAATCTCTTATTTCATTGAGCTACTCCTGGTGTGCTTATAAAATGGTGATTTAAAATGCCTCTACAAGTGGTTGCTAAATAGACAAAACTGCAGAGGGACCATATTAAAGTAAGAAACCCTCATGCAAGTGATGAAGTGTTATTTAGGACTTGCTATCAGGAGATCTATTCCTGGCTCAGCCATAGACTCTCTGTATAACCTTGTTTTCCCATCTGTGAAATGGGGATATATTTACCTATCTACCAGCTATGTTCTGAGATTTACGGTAATTCATTCATGGTTACACTTTGAGATCCTCAGATAGAAGAAATTATAGAAACGCAAAAAGTCATAGAGTCACCAGCTTTGAAAGTTAAGCTGATCATTAAAAATCTGTTTCATCTTCTTACCCAAGGATAGGTTTTCTGTGTCCCCTGCACTGCCTGGCTTGTGGTGTGCAATTAGGAGACACTGGCTATCTAGTAACTGCTGTTGCTGCACAAAGCAGGAATACCACATTTCAATTTCCTTCAGGTGACTGGGCAGTTCTGGGTTGAAGACTATTACAACACCATGGGAGTCTTTCATCAGAGCTGGCCAGCAAGTTTCAAACCTTGAAAAGCAGGTAAATGGAAAATGGTAAGGTTGGTAGACCCAAAAATGGCAACTGTTTTTACTTAATATTTACTTAAAACTCCACATAGTTTATGTATTTTGTTTCTCCTCAAACACAGATGCTTCAGTGTTTTTCCTTATAAAAATTAGGAAGCTTGCAGTCAATATGGCAAACTTCAAACACATTTTTGTCCTAGACAAACACTAATAAGCCTCCTAATTTAGTCAGAGTCAGAGGCCAGAAGAGACCACTAAACCATCAAATCTGGCCACCTGTATATCACAGGCCATCCACCCCACCTAGCACCCACACACTAAACCCATCACAAGCAACCCCATCATACAATTGCACTCATAAATTTGTCCAGCTCTTTTAAAACTAAATACGTTGTGTGTCCCCCACTCCCCAACTCCTACAGGAAGGCTGTTCCAGAATCTCACTGCTCAGATGGTTCAAACGTTCTAATTTCCAGCATGAATGTGTTGATGGCCAGTTTATATCCATTTGTTCTTGTGTCAACACTGTCCTTTAGTTTAAATTGCTAAATTTGTTCTACTGCACAATGTAACATTTGGTTAAAGATGTGTTTAAATCCTTCTCCTAAAGAGCTGACTTGTGGAGTGGTCCCAGTCCTACAAATTGATCAGCTTAAACATGACTCTTCCAGTCACACAGAGCCCCATTGACTTCAACAGGTATAGTATCTGGCCAGGTGGATCAGTTTAAGGGATTGGGGTCCCCCCAATCATCTAGGTCCCAATCCCATATTCCTTGTGCACCTAGAACTCCTGCTGAGCTCTTACAAGTAGTGCCTGCTAAGCTCTCAAAGATCACCACCAACTTGATCTGGTAACAGTTCAAAAAGTGAGTTAGAAATAGTTTCAGATTCTACACCTGCCCTTGAATCCCCCTGACAATTTGTGGTTTTACAACCAAGTTTTCCTTTTTTTTTTTTTCTATTCACAGCTGTTGTGAACCTACTCCCTCACATTTCCTCCACCACAATAGGGCAAAAAGACTGACTTCAAACAATTTTATTAGCACACATGAGTCCCAATCAAGACTGGGCCCCAACTGTACTTAGCTGTGCAGAAATATGTACAAAGCTACTCCCACAAAGGACTTAATCTAAGAGTTGTCAAATACAGAAAGCAAGTAAACTGAAAAATAGCAAAACATTTTTCCTCTAACCTCAGTGGTGAGTAAGAGCGACTTCACAGAAAAGTGTGATTTTTAAGTTGATGCTGTCCAAATATTTGAGTACTTTAAGAGACAGGGAGTGACCTTGTCTCAAGGTTCGTCTTCACTACCGTGCTAAATTGGCACCGCTGCCATTATGTTGTCTGATTTAGACATATTACATTGACGGGTGAGCGCTCTCCCGTCTACGTAATTACTCTACCTCAGTGAGAGGCGGAAGCTATATCGGTGGGAGAAAGTAGATAAGGAAGTGTTATTTACTCCTTCTCATAATAGAAGAACTAGGGGTCACCAAATGAAATTAACAGGCAGCAGGTTTAAAACAAACAAAAGGAAGTATTTTTTCACACAACACACAGTCAATTTGTGGAACTCTTTGCCAGAGGATGTTGTGAAGGCCAAGACTAAAACAGGGTTCAAAAAATAACTAGTTACATTCATGGAGGATAGGTCCATCAATGGCTATTAGCCAGGTTAGGCAGGAATGCTGTCCCTAGCTTCTGTTTGCCAGAAGCTGGGAATGAGCAACAGGGAATGGATCACTTGATGATTACCTGTTCTGTTCATTCCCTCTGGGGCACCTGGCATTGGCCACTGTTGGAAGACAGGATACTGGGCTTGTTGGACCTTTGGTCTGACCCAGTTTGGCTGTTCTTATGTTCTTACGATATTAGGGAGACAAGATGGGTGAAGAAGAGCTCTGTGTAAGCTCAAAAGCTTGTCTCTCTCAACCACCAGAAGTTAGTCCAATAAATTATATTACCTCACCCACCTTGTTAAAATAATGTGAAGTGTCAAGAACACTAAAACCCACTTACTTTTGATCACCGCCACAATCCCACAGCTCAAATCGACACCCCGCCCCTTTACTGTTGCCATTCATATTTGGTTTCTCATATTCCAGGATCCTAAAAACAGAAGTGGGTTTAGGGTATGATAAGATTCTACAACAAGGCCATCCTGGAAAGAGCATGACATCCCCTGGGGGACCCCTTCGTAAGGGTCTCCTTTCAGTAAGCATGGTGCGTGGCTTCACTCACCTCACTCCTTGAGTGGGGACGTAGCTACTAATGCCTTCTGTGCTCTCTGACAGAAAGTTTGCCAAGACGGATTTTCCAGACTGTCAGAAATGGGAGCAAAAGGCACTTGTGTTAATAAAACAACACCCGTACAGTTGGCAGCAGGGCTCAGGGGGGAGGGCTGCATATCCCAGTTTGGAGCAAGATTTGTGCTGTTTGGGGTGGAGGGCTACTTCCATGTCCACAGAGGTGGGGCCCAGGGGATCTTTGTGGGCTTGGATCCAGCTCCCAGCTGGGCTGTTCATGTTGATGGGGGGTGGGGGGGGGGGGACACACCAGACCCTGGAGCCCCAGTTTGGCCACGCGGGTGAGACACATACAAGGCTCAGGAGTGGGGGCGGGGCTCGCTTGGCTCATCACACGGGGGGGCCTAGGAGGCTCTGGGATGGGGGCCCCGCTTGGGTGCGCCTGTGGGGCACGTCCGAGGCTCAGGGGTGCAGGGCCCCGCCACACGCACGGGGCCTGTTCGCGGGCGGGGGGGGGGACACACACGGGATCGAGGAGTCTCCCCGGGGGCTCTACTCAGCCGCCGGGCCGGGCACTCACCTCACTGGGGCCCACGAACAGGATCTTGGCCTTCAGCATCCCGCGCGCTCCCCAGGCGGCCTGGGACGGGCCGCGCCGCCCCGGACTCTCCTGCCAGCCAGCCCCGAGCCAAACGGCGCGGCTGCCGCGCGGCGCCCTAGCAACGCGGCGTCGTTGTCAAGGGCGCAGGGACGCCGGCCAGCGATTGGAGCGGAGCATGGGTCACGTGGAGCAGGGAGCTCTCTGCAGCACGTGACCCCTCCCCCAGGTTCTTTCCCCTCCCTTTCTCCAGCCCCCCTGGCACTTATCTCACTCCAGCCGCTTTCTCTCCCCCTGACCCTCCTTTTCTGGTGTTCAGCTGCTCTCCCCCCTTATCTCACTCCAGCCGCTTTCTCTCCCCCTGACCCTCCTTTCCTGGTGTTCAGCTGCTCTCCCCCCTTATCTCACTCCAGCCCCTTTCTCGCCCCCTGACCCTCCTTTCCTGGTGTTCAGCTGCTCTCCCCCCTTATCTCACTCCAGCCCCTTAGTTCCTGCTCTAGTTTATTACTGTCCCAGGGTAGCTTTGCCCAGCAACTTGCACTGCAACAAGGCCCGGGGGTGCAGTTTACCCGTTTTGTTAGTTCTGCACTCCTCTGTGTTGGGCATGCTTCGCTGGGAATAAAACATACCCCATTTTGATTTAGCTTCAGGTTTGGCTTTGTTGTTTAAAAAAACAACAAAAGCAAAAATGGAAACGTTTTTATCCGGAAGTGTCCCCACAGGTCTGCACCAGAACAATAAAAGGTTGTGAATTAAAATCTGTACTCTTTTTGGTGCACATTTGTGTCTGGAGCAGGCCTTATGATGAGGTCAGGAAACTGGCTATCTTTTTTCACAAGGTTATTCAATGTTTTCCTGGCTTTATAGAGGTAGACTCCTATCACAGAGTCTGAAAAGATGGCTCAGTGGTAAGGGCACTAGCCAGGGACTCAAGAACCCAGGTTTCAGTTTCCTGCTCTGCCACAGACTTCCTGTGTTACCTTGCACAAGTCAATTAGGACCAAATCCACAATGGCTCCTAACTTCCATAGAAATCAAAGGAAATTAGGAGCCTAAACCTAAGCACCTTTGTGGATCTGAGCCTAGTCCACTGTAGAAGTGAGGCTAGCAGTACTTCCCTGAGGATAAATATATTAGAAGATTATGAATCACTCAGTGACTACTTCTCTGAGCCATACGTGTACCTAAAACATATAGATGGACTGTGGGAAATGTCGTTTTCTGGTGTAGTTTTCAGAACACATGGATCTTGTGATACTAATTTCCTCAAGCCACCAGCATGAGCACTGAAGAGGCAAAGTTTCTTATTAAGGCTTTTCTGAGGAACCAGGAAGCATTTTAAAGGCCCAGCATATAGGTAAAAACATCTGGCAACCAGATGGGTTGCTTCAGAGCTGTTTAGAGCCCAGGTACAGTAACAGTTTAAGACAAGCTTTCAAATGGGGCCTTTATTTAGTAAACCTAAATGTTTACTAGTGCTACTAATAAATGTGAAACAGGATTGTTTTGTTCCCAGTGAGAGGATTACAGTGTTTCCAACAGCCTGCAGACCTATTTGCTGTCTAACTCACTACATAAAGTGGTTTAGGATGGTTTAGTGTCCCAGGAACATGGGTGTCATTTATGCCATGTTTAAAGGATCAGAAATAATCCATTGTTTCCAGGGCAAGTTATGAGAGAGAAAGGTAATGCAAGAAAGCCAGCTGCACTTAGCCTCAACCAGATATTGGATTCTATTGGATTCAGTTTTAGCCGATTGGGATGCAGACCTGGTGCACCACATCTACCAGGAGATCTCCGAGGAGGCGGCCGGGGCAAAGGCAGGGGAAAACCCGCGTCTCGTTCCCTGACTGAGCAGTGGAGGTGGCCCCTCATCCTGCGCTCGTGATAGCGGCTCGTCAGCCAGTGCTAGCGGCAGCAAAGCGGGGGCTAGTCCCGGCTGCCTCTCGGCAAACTTAGGGCGGTTCGATTGGGTGGCTGAAATTGCTGGCTTGGGTTTGGCGATGAGCTGCAGCCCTGGGGGAGGAAATCGGGTAGCGCAGAGGGAGCTTGTTCCTCTTTCAAGTCTCCCTGTCCTCAGCCCCACAGCCGGAGAGCCAGCACGGCAGGCACCGCGGCTCCCGAGCAGCCAGAGGACGCAGCAAGCTCCGCGGTTCCCAGGCTGCTGTTGCTGACGCTCTGCCAGACTGCCAGACCAGCAGGGTGCAGCAGCGCGCTGGCAAACTGCCACTGTCACAATGAGGGGCGGCGCTCTGTACAGAGTAGCAGGAAACCAGATTTCTTTTTTTTTTAAATCTTAATTTTTATTTTAAAAATACATATCTATCCCATCCACCCAGGCCCTTTTAAATTGCTGGGCCCCTGGACAATTGACCCCTTTGCTGCCCCCCAACCCCGACACTGTCGGTGGTCCTGAATGTGGACAACAGTGCAGAAGAGCCAAAAATCTGAGCAAGAGGTAACAATAAAACCTAAACACTGGTTAAAGGAAAGAGGGCTGTTTTCACATCTACCCAAAAAGCAATTGTGATCTTTATAATCAAATGAGTTGTCGGATAATATAAAGTCCGTGTGGTTTTTTTAATCAATCACAAGGGAGTAAGAGGATCATATCTTATAAGTTTTCAGAAGTACCTATGTGATTTAAACTCTTACCTACCTAAATCACTTTTGAAAATAGAAGGTAGGCTCCCAACTCACATAGGTGCTTTTGAAAATTGTATCCTAAATCAATCTAATGATTTTTAACAATTTGAGCCATTCAAGTATTTCATTTTTCAGATTAATTACTGATATATTTTCCCCTGTAATCCATATTCTCTTAAATTGCCGGTTCAAAAGCATTATACTTGGCTCTGGCCTTTATCCTGAGCCTCACTCTTTCATGTAAAGGGGGACAAAGAAGAGACTAGCAGATGTCAGTTAATGGTTTGTTTTCAGAAAACATTTGTAAAGCAGCAGTGTTTAAAATCTGAACAGACTTACCTTAAAAAACAACAAAACACCTATTACTTTGTTATATGCCTATCTCCTAGAACTGGAAGGGACCATTGAGTCCACCCCCTGCCTTCACTAGCAATACCAAGTACTGATTTTGTGCCAGATCCCTAAGTGGCCCCCTCAAGGATTAAACTCTCAACGCTGGGTTTAGCAGACCAATGCTCAAACCACTGAGCTATCCCTCCCCGTTTCATTCCTCCCATTTAAACAGATTGCATCCCTTGCCTCACCAGAGCGAGATTTACACCTTATGTGCCACTAGGCACAGCATCTTCAGGGTTACCCCCCCAGCCCCCGCCTACAGCTGACCTTCGTGTTTTCCAGAAAAAATGAAACTTTAACCCACTTTTAACTTTTAGGCGCTCCTAAAACACTGGTGCCCTTAGGCATGCGCCTTCTGTGCCTAATTGGAAATCAGGCCCTGTGCCTCACTGTAAGCTTTGGCAGAGAAATCCAAGTGGTCAGAGAATTTCGGTTTAATGCAGTGAATTAGAAACAGAAACACGATGACAAAATCTGCATCCCAGCTACACACTGCAGACACAATAACTTCTGTGGGTTGCAATATCGGACTGGGGCAGAATTTGGCTGGCAGAGTTTAATTTTAAGTTAAATCTGCAAAGCCTGCAAATAAAATAGACGTTAGTAGTTCTTTTTGCAAAGCGATTGCTGAGATCACATTTGTTCCATGGAGCAATAGTAACACCTAGTGGCTAAACGTGCCCGTTCATTCCCTCATTTGTTTCCTCTCTCAAATAAGTGTGTGGCACAGGACTTGGCATGATTGACAGTTTTGACTTGAGAGGCCAGCACTTACATTCTCTAGGGATTTGCCTCTTTTCCCTCCGCCCTGTTCTGTTTTCTGTTAGAAGTGGTAGGTGAAATATGAAACTTCATTCCTCTCTCCCCCCCAACGCTCCTTTCACATTTCTGGCTAACGTGGGAGGTTTCAGTCCATCTAGGTCTGTAAGTGGGTGGGCTGTGCTCTGCGTGGCCCACTGCTTCCAGCTGAGAGAACTCCAATCTCCTCAAGGAATCCATAATTTTAAAGGATCAACCTGATCATCTGGTGGAGGTTGGTGACCTTGGTGCATTTGATAATGGCGTGTTAACTTGCCTGTGTTAAGGCAGTGCAACCTGATATGTTCCAAGAAGTAACATTTGTGAAGATCAGTAAGATGTGGTGTGCACGATTATTGACCATAGCCTTCTGGGGCAGCTAATTCATCAAAAAGGCTCCCCTGACAAACTGGCATTTAAGAGGAAAATAACCTTAAATTTTTACTGTGTTAGCGGAGGTGCTGCTTAGAAAGTGTTTTTAACCCCCTCTGCCCCCTCCTCCCAAAAGTTGGAATTTTTTTACTATATATATATATAAAAATTTTCAGCCAAAACACAGTTTTGGAAATACAGCCATGATGCCTCATAGGCGTTGTAGCTCAGCTGTCTCATGTGCCCATTCTCTTCTGCGGACTGGACAGATTGCATCTACCATGATGCACAGTGGTCTCCCTTCTTGGTCAGCTGCATGGTGCACCATTGGAGATGAAGTCTGGTTGGGGAACCTAGCCTGAAGAAGAGAATGGGGGAAATGAGACAAGGTGGCGACATTTCCAAAGCAAAATATTTTGGGTTTTGATTGTTCTCCAAAAGTTCAAGGTTTTAATGGAAATCAGATCAGGTTAATTAACAATCTCCCATCAAAAGACAGTTTTGGTGGGAAATTGTCAGCTAGTCCTAGTTAAGCAGTTCCTCATGGTCTGATTCTATGACCCTGGATTGTGATCTCACTAGTGTAAATCCAGCATAACGCCATTGATTTCAATGGTACAATACTGGTGTGAGAGGAGACTCGGGAGCTATGAAACCAGGGAGAAAAAAGGGCTTGGTCACGAGAGGGCTGTGCATTTCCTGGAACGTGTTGAGGAACCTCAGCTTCCATAGAGGCTCATAGCACGTCACAGGATTGGGCTAAAAGTCAGCAGCATTGGTCAGTATACTTGATAAGCAGCAGAACTACAAAATGCTGCACATGTTAAATAAAGCAACTAGCATGTAAACAATAGAACCAGGCAAAATTTAGTGACCATGATACATAAGGCTTCATGCAACCTCTTCCATTAGAGACGCATGGTTTTGTTTT